TACATAGATCTCTGTACTTTACAATATGTGGATACGGTGTTGGTATTACATCATCGAATATTCGTCACGTATCAACGCTACGTATGGTCGATAGATATAAATGATGCAAAATACGATGGACCACACATACTAAACAGTTATATGGATTTCCTTCCGAATAATTTCTCCTTATCAGCAGCATATCAAAGGCCTTCGGGTAAACTAGTACTGTTCATACACGATGTAATTTACATGGTTGAGTATCCCAGTTTCAAATTAAAAGAAGGCTGGCCAAAACGTCTCTCCAGTCTAGGATTTCCCCCGAACATTTTCATCAATACCGTAGTAAATACTAACAGAGGACAAACCTATGTGATCTTCAATAATAACGATGTGGCGCAAATAGATGAATGCAATATGAGTGTTCGTTCATATCACTCGTTACAAGCGATATTTCCGGGAATACCGTCAGCTCCCACCTTAGCCTTCCGATATATGGATGGTAATTTGTACTTTGCTAAAAAACAACAATTCTACCAATTTAACGAATTCACGAGAACTGTAACAAAAACTGGTAAATTTGATATAAACATACTCAACGTTGAATGTTCGAGAGATGGATTATTGCAACAAATGCAGAATATCTTGACTCGACTATTTCGATCGAGTACTACATAAAACACAACGAGAAATAAGAAGAAGGAGAGGGGAAAGATGGAAGGACATATATAATCAATACTATAATAGTTTTAAACGATTAGTATACAAGGAACAGTCATTCCGACAACATCAACGTGTTCAATCGCGAGGATAATATTGTAAGAATACACATCAATGCTCAACAACGCGGATATTGAAAAGTATCTCATGGAACAGAACAATCTTAACGAAGGGGGTGTGAAGAGATCATTCGATGATGAAAATCTTGATAATGAAAACACATCAAATAAGTAAGTATTTTTTTCTTTGCATCCTTTTTTTTCTATTCACTGATTTTTTTCTTTAATTACAGACATCAAATAACACATCGTTCTATCATACGCATTCTCGAGAGAAGATATCCGTTAACCGTAACTGGCTACATATATTTGAACATTGGTATTAATGTCAAACTCCCTTCTTACGTAACTATCGTTTTGGGAGATTCTCACGGTAAAGAGATTCCGCTTTCACCGGACATCTGGAAAGAGCTTCTTGAACAAAAACACGTCATTTTGTCCCTTTTGCAGTACGATGAGAATAATAGAGGAATACGCGCGACGCC